ATTTTACTGACTGTAACTAAAACAACGTGATCATTGCACTTAATCTTCACTCAAACAAGTGTGTACACAGATTAAACATCACTCTAATAACAAGAGCAAAAAATAAATAGTAAGAATTAGTCAGTTATTTAAATTGATAGCTACCTTTCTTACTGCTGCATTTTGTGAGCATCATGTGGAGATCAGCCTCTCGCTCCTGCAGGGAGCAGTTTTTAGCACTGCTCTCGTCATGTCGCACTCATATTCCAAAACAAAAGCTGCACTCTACTTTCTTCTGTCAATCAATCCCAGAGCTAATCCATGGGATGTCAAAACTGTAAACGTGCTGTCCTCGCTTCTGCCAGCTTAGAACCACCGACCGGACCAGAGAGGAGGTTCTGTAACAGCGCGGCTGTGTGCGGTCACTGGACCGAGGCTGAACGAACCGAGCCGAACCGCAAAGCTGCTGCCAGGGTGGAGAGTAGTTGTCGCTCTGGTTTAAAACATTCATGGTTCTGTGTAAAATCTGATACTCATTTTTTGGCTGATATCGGACCGATATCCAATATCAATATYGGATCGGGACACCCCTATTAGAGATCAGGCTCATGAGTCCTGGTGATGCAGTAATTGTTTCATCTTTTGTCTCTAACTTGTGTGTGTGTGTTTCAGGAAGACGTGGTGGAGATAGAGTACGTGGAGCGGATCACGGCCCCCGAGCCACAGGAGTGTATGATGCACGATGACTGGATCAGCTCCGTGGATGCAGACGCTGAGTGGTGAGATCACAGAGAAACACAGAGACTTGCTGCTTTGCTTGGTGTCACACCTGCATTACATTGAATGAAGGATTTTCTCAAATTAAATCTGTAAGTAAACCTGAATTTTTTTTAAATAGGTGTTGTACATCACAGAAACATTGAAAAAAAAAACTCTATTTAGTGTTTAGAATTTTTTATTTTATTTTCAAAAGTCAAACATTTTCCTAGAATTACTGCTGTAGGGATAATCTGATACACCTGGAATACAGTTCTCCAACTCTGTGACAGATTCCCATCATCTGTAAAACAAAAAAAAGAAAAGAAARGGGGCGGGGCTACATGTTTTGTTGTGATCTTAAAGCCATCCAGTCCATTGATGATTCAGGGATTAAACCGATGCTTCTAGGGCTGCAACAATGAATCGATAACAATCGATTATTAAAAGCGTTGGCAACGAATTTCATTATCGATTCGTTGTGTCACAGGATTTATGCGTCCCTCACCGTGTCGCGGAGCCGATTACGTTACCCGCAGAGCGTTGTCAATGACCGCAGTTAGTTACCAAGAAAGAAAAAACTCTACCTGTAAAGATCTGCCCTCTCTGACTCTCGTGTGAAAAGCAGAGACTACGAACTTTAAACCAGTTTTTAAATTGTGTTGTTAGGTCAAGTAGATCTGAAGATATGATAAAAAGTATATACTAAATTTATTCTTTTTAAAAGACGTCTGATTTGATGTGCGCCGCGTTGCGGGGAGGAAGTGCGTGCGAGGGAGGAGGGAGACCTTAAATCCACCATTTCGTCCTCCTCTGGGGCCAAAAGTATAAAAACTCTCCAGTTTTTTCTGACTGAGGCTCAAAGTTATTTGTTGAGCAGCAAAATGTTTCAGGACGAAGGAGAAAAAAAAAAGACGCGATCGAGCAGCAGGTCTGCAGGGAGATGGGAGGAGGGGGGCTGCTTCAGAACCGGTTACTGGGTCAGAACAATGTTTTAGTCAAATCTATTTATCTTCATTCAGCAATCCATTAAATTTATGTTTTGTTTCATGTAGGAGAAATACACATTTTTTTCAGTCAGTATTTAATACAGCTGGCAAAATAAATTGTTAAAATATGTATTATGTGCTTCTGTTTTTTAATTCAGGAGATTATAAAAAAATCCTTCATTTTATGGGAAGACCCTCTTGATTCAAGAGAAAACTCCAGTTTTTTAAAAAATGGCTGCTTATTAATTAATTGTTAATTAATCTATAAGATAAATTAACTTCAGATTAATTCATTATCAATAACTTGCATCCTTAAGGAGTTAACTTAATTTATGTCTACTCATATTCATGTAATTAAGCGTTTTAATGATTTGGCCGATTAATCAATTAATCGAAAAAATAATCAGCAGATTAATCGATTGTTAAAATAATCATTAGTTGCAGCCCTAGATGCTTCCTTCTTTTTAAATTGTCATTTTGGTCACGTTGATTTTATTTATTTTGTTGTATCTATGAAGAAATACCTGAAACCATCACAGTTTGACAGATAAAGTATTTTAAACACTGAAAAGGTGTTTTGCAAAGAGTTGTTAGCTTAAAAACCATTTAAAAACAGAAAAATCACATAGATCCTTCAGTTAAACAAAACCACCTTTTAGTGTTTTAATTTTATATTACATTTAGCTTTTATTTAAAGTTGGTCTGTTTCATCTTTTAACTATGGTTTTGCTCATTTTAGCTTTAGCACCTGTTTTACTACATTTAGCTTCTAACTATTTTTCTTATTTTAGCTAAGGCAGTGCTGTTTGTAGTTCTGTTCTGATAGTTTTTTAGACTAAAGCTAAAACGAGTTGCCTTTATGTTTCTGTTTGTCATGAATGAGTCAGAATGAAGGTTTTTCTTTCTGCTTGAAGTAAAATCATAAAAATAAACCAGGAAGTAAGAGCTGAGAGTGGTGCTGTTCATTTGACTGTATTTTATTTTGACAGGATCCTGACAGGTTCCTACGACAGGACGGCCAGGATCTGGTCTGTGGAGGGGAAGGCCGTGACGACGGTGGCTGGACACTCGGATGTGGTCAAAGACGTGGCCTGGGTCAGGAGAGGTGAGCGAGCTGAAACTCCACATGTCCGCTCAGCGTGAAGCGYCCAGGTTAAAGTCAGGCTGTGTTTCCTGCACAGACGGTCTGACCTCTCTGCTCCTGACGGCGTCTCTGGACCAGACGGTCCTGCTGTGGGAGTGGAACTCTGAGAAGAACCAGCTGAAAGCCCGGCACTGCTGTCGAGGACACACAGGAAGTGTCGACACCGTGTCCACAGACCCCGCAGGCTCCAAGGTAAAAACAAGAAAACAGTAAATGACAGAAACTGGAGGTGAAACTGTGTCTGAGTGTTTGTGCTCYGTAGTTCTGCAGCGGCTCCTGGGACCGAATGTTGAAGATCTGGTCAGCAGGTAAATTCATCTGAGGGACTCCAGAACACGTGAACCTGAACGCTTTGATTCTTCTAATTCCAGATTTACTCAGTAAAAAGTTCAACACGGTTGTTTTTGTGCCTCCAGTGCCCACAGACGAGGCGGACGAGGTAGAGGAGCCCGCGGACAGACCGAGGAAGAAGCAGAAGACTCAGCAGCTCGGCCTCAMCAGGGTGAGTTCAGAGAGGCCTCAGACTCATGGCTTCAGCTGAAGCAACATAAAGTTCATGTTCTCTCCGCCTCGCAGACCCCCATCATGACCTTATCTGGACACAGCGAAGCCGTGTCCTCGGTCCTGTGGTGCAGCGGTGAGGAGGTCTGCAGTGCATCATGGGATCACACCATCCGGCTGTGGGACGTTGAGTCTGGAACCATGAAGACCACGCTGGTGAGGAAAAACAAAACAGGACTTTAAATCCTGAACGCTCGTTGAAAACAGACAAAAACTGTTGTCTGCCATGTTTGAATCAAGCTAAGAGAGTTAGCATGTTAGCAGGTGAAATATATTCAGCCTACTGCASGCTGTCTGTAGAGGCGAAAACCCTCAGAGAACATCAGCTTTTCACGAGAAGCACATTTACTGCAGTGACTTCTGATGAATCTGAAGCTGAGCTTAAAGTGCATCTTACACCCCCCTGTGAAAAGATAACTCCGCCCCAAGGCGAAATTTGAAAAATGCATCAAAGTGGGTRGGGGTGGGGGGTGGGGGTGGGGGGTTAGAGAGCAGAGGTGTGGCCAGGACGAGAGAACGTGACAGGCAGCTAGCATTAGCATAATTGATGCTACATGGAGAGTGACCACAGCGACGCAGATAGTTACATCTCTGAACGTCTGAGGTGGAGGATTTTTCACCCCCTCTCCTCACCAGAGGCAGAGAGAGACTTGATCAAGTCAGCTCAGTCTGGGACTGACTCGTGTTGGCTCCCTGGATCAGGACATGGAGCGCTTTACCACAGCCTCGGCTGAGCTCAGCTGCGAAGCAGGAGGAAAGGAGAGAGGAAAAATTAACTTATTTCAAGCGGCAGAACAGGTTGGAAGATGGCTGTTTGATGATATTTATTGTTTTTTAAATCATCCTACAGGCTCTAGCCTGTTTAAAACCAGACCCTGTCCTTCACTTTGCTTCGTACTAGGGTCTGAACTTGATACATAGACAAGCGTTTGTTGCGGGAGGCGTGGTCTCTGCTGAAGCATGTATGTGTTGTCGCTGTGACGGAGGCTAAGCTAAGAAGCTAACCGGAAATCACGTGTGTTGTAAACAACCCTACTGAGAGGAGAGAAGTACTGAGCCGAACAAGATGACTGTAAATGAGAGCTKCTGCTTTGTCAGACAAATTTAATTTAATTTGGAAGCCTTATCAACACAGACTGGCTTCATTCACTTCCTCCACTGCCGTATGCTAAAATAACTAGCAGACACTGTGCAGAACATCGACGTCATTCAAAACATCGCCTTCTGTTCTCTGATTGGTCCAGGTAAAATAAACTACAAGCAGACACTGTGCAGAAAATTGACGTTCTGTTCTCTGATTGGCCCGGCTAAAAATCTGCCAGTGAAATCCATCTCAATGGGAGAAGTCCCAGACGGAGCAGAGAAGGAAACTAGAACTGAGCGGAGCTGCGTAGGAAGGCAAGGGCCAGGCTATACAGGCTCTGACATGTTAGATAAATTTGAAAATGAGGTTTTTAAAATATCCGTAAGACTTGAAAAAATCAGTGAGATTGCTCTATACGTCCTACAAGTTGACGTGTGGGTTCGGGCTGCAGCTGCCCCACTGCGTTTCTTTCCCCTCCTCCCCTCCTGCTGTGCAGGATGTACTGCTCCACACGAGGTTGAAGGTCAACAGACGATCATGCTAAGCTTGCTAACTGTTCCACCCTCTGACTGCTGCAGGGGCGTGTCTTAGAGAGAGGCTTTTATAC